GAGCAGAAGCCATACAAGACTAACTCTCAAAGCTGCTGATGGGGCAAGAGAGGGGAGGACAGTTAAAATGTGCATATTCTTTTGATGGTCTACAAAGTAGTCTTGGGAACTGCTTTAAACTGTAATGATGCTTTTGGAACCTACACAATTTTTTTTACACTGCTCTATTGTGCTTGGTCTGTACTCTTTATGGCCTTTTCCTCCATTATTGTTTAGAGTTCCATTATTTTAAAAAGAAATTGAAAAATGCAATTGTAAACATGGAACTTATCTTTGTCTCAAGGGCATCTAGCTTTCTTAGTGCATCTACTAATGAGCTTGTAGCAAAATATGTGCTGTAGGAGTCAACAGTTCATATGCTTTGATCATTGGTGCTCAATGGTCAGCTTAGAACACTTTCCTGCAGGATCTGTTTCGCTTGGAATACAGGAGGCTGTCTTATCGCCAGGTCTCTCTGACAGCAACACCTACTACGTCCTTTAATCAACATTGGCTGGCATGTCCTTTACCACCAAGCCACAGGCCTCCCTCTTTTTTTAGCCACAGTTCTGTAAAGAACACTGCTGGGAATTTGCCCACAAGCACAAGCTTACAGGATCTGAGTGTTGGTTACCATGTACAACTACTGGAGTTAATCCAACTTCAGAGCCTTCTTTGCCTCCTTACTAAGAAAACAGGAATACATTTTATTAAAAAAAACTTTATTGGAAAAAAGTTAAAATAAATTACATTTTGCAAGGTCTAATATTTACATACAGTGTGATTCCAGTGACACAAAATCAGCAAATAAAAGAACAGATCAAGACAGAGTTGTATCTGCTCAAGTGATGGAGTGACACAGATGAGATCAGCGCTATACAAAGTTCAAGAACAATGTGAAAGATGGAGACGCTCATTTTAAAAGTTCAGTGCAGTGAAGAAGGCATGAAAATTATGAAGGAGTCAAGCTGCTGGGATACTCTTAGGGCCCAAAGCCTTACCAGCTATTGCTTCCATGTTCAGAGAAGACACTGGCATATTTTTACTTGCTCATTTAAACAAACTAAAGAATGAAATAAGCCACATTCAGGGTGACAGAAATCAATAAGCACTTATTACCACTCCATGTTTTGAGACATCTGTTGCCAGAAATGGAGTCAATCATGCCTTCAAAACCAGAGGGTTCTTTCTAAAGTATTGCTTAACAGTTTTGTTTGACTATATTGAATCCATCATGTGACCTGCCGTGTAAGCAACATTTCAAAGATTCATTTGATGGGACCAGTTGAAAAGAAAATTAACAATTATTCTGCTGTGCATATAAGGTCAATTTTTTTGCATGCCAGTTCTGCACTGAACACATTCAATAATCATACAGTAATGCTCTAACTGAATGGTATGTCCCTCTCCCTGACAGCAAACTTTTGCCTTGCAATACAACTACTGAATGCAATTGCTACAGAAATTAGCCCCAGGAATGGCGCCCCATAGGTGGCCAACTCCCACCATGTGAAATGATTATAAGCTATCAAATAAAAGGAAAATAATCACTTGTCTTTTGGGCCAGTTCCTGTAACTAACATAGTACGGAGCTGAGGAGATTCTACAAGTGTATCAACGCTGTTTTGAGTCCACTGACAACAGCAGTGGTACGCGAATCCAGCAAGAAGGAGCAGCTCAGATTCAGCGGTCTACAGCTTGGTATATCAGGGTCCTCTCTCCCCACCCCTACTGCAAAAGACATGAGGGCATATTGGTGGCCTGTTGCTTTTCAAAATTAGCAGCTATCTTTAAAAAAAACACCCTTCTACAAACCCCTAAACAATTTAACATCAACATAAAGCAAAGATGGGTTACCCCCAGTTGAATTATAGACTGGGGATGGGAAGGGGAGACACAGAATGGTCAAACCTTAACCTTCAGTTTGCTTGAACAGTTTCACATTATACAAATCCCTTCCTGAAATGTAGCCAGGACATCAAGGCACTTCAAATGTTGGGGTTTTCCCAGCAATCAAAACTTTTATGTTTACTTCATCAGATGCAAGTAGAGAAAAAGAGTTAACTCAGACTCAGAAAATTATAGAAAACTGCAGCTCTCCTTCAACACATGGAAGACAGTACTTATAACCCAAGTAAACTGTGAAGGCAGCTGAGTTTTCAGCAAGCTTCAGGAAGTCTCATCATTATAAAACTCATTCCAAAAGTAAAGGGTAAATGTCAGGCTCGTGCAGCTAATAAAAGCCAAGTCTCAATAAATAATATCTATATGTTTTGCGTTGGTGCTCTTAAGACAAAAACACAGCTAAATTTCATCCCAAACAAGGCACGTGGTGGAGTTGTTGAATATAAGAGTTGGATATAAGAGTGTATCAATGCTTCAAACTTTTGTTTGGGAATAAGTCCCTGCTGACTTTAATGGAGCACAGCATGGAGTACAGCAAATGTCACTGGTTGTGTTTTTATCTGTCGAATCTGCCTTAGGCAAGGAAAATCTCCCCTTGTTTCCTTGAAAGCTGGTTAAGTTCTTAGAAATTCAGAGCACTTCTTTAAATACCCTGAACATCAGGTCTACAGAACAGCAGCTAACCTGTATTTCAACAGAACAGGTCATGTGAGCTATCTTCATCTCTAGATACAGAGGCAAGGCTTAATATAGAGGAAGCCACAGCTTCAGGCTTGCAGCGTTCCAGCTTTGCCTGTTTACGTAGCACAAGTCTGCATGTACTGCAGTAATTACACATAAGAAAAAACTACATTTTGAGACAAACACAGATCATCTGTTGGTTGTTCCTATAACTGTCTTTTGTGCACCACTCAGTCCCTCTCTTTTAGTGCAGCAGAGAGAAACCTTTTAGCCTTCCAGTCACGGAAGGCACACCAGAAGACCAGCTTTATGGAGTTTATCTTTACTAAGACGATGGGCACTTTCAGAACAAAAGAGGGCACGGCGTACAACTCACAGTGTATTATCTGCCATGGAATCAGAAAAATACTCAGCTATAGATAGAATGCCACCTTTGATGCAGGATCAAGTTATTTGATGATGAAAGTTATTTATTGTTTTGCAAAAGGTTAACTTCATTCACGGCTGTCCTGGGTAATTTGGGGCGGGGGAGGCGGGGGAGAACCAACCACTGGGACTCAAGTGTAACAGTAGCCTCCCAATTGCCCACTGCATTTTGGGCTGCATTTCAGCCCATGCCCAAGGTAACACAGGCCTGAGATAATAATTTCCCACTTAGAAAAGCTTAGCATAGAACCAAATGGCTTAATTTTTTTGCTAACTTCCTTGCATGTACAGTACAAAATTTCTGAACAGAAATGAAGGGAGACCTTTTTTATGGCAGCAAATGTCTTCAAGATATCCTTCTGAGGATTTTTTTTTTAAAGGAGTGTATGATTGACTGGAGGCATCTTTAAGAGAGCACCTCCACCCCAACAATTCTGAAGTCAAACTTGTTAATTGTACAAGATTGTATTGCAAAATTACATTTGGCCCTTTTTTGAGCCAAATTAAACTGTTTTAAACTGCTCATAAGGCCTGGCATGATCTGGTCCATGGGGTCGCGAAGAGTCGGACTCGACTGTGCGACTGAACAACAACAACAAAACTGTTTTAATTTGCCACTCCAGGGATTTCCACCCATGATTTCTTCCATTTCATACTGGAATCAGTGGGAGCTCAATATACAGGTAAATAGTAACTCACAATATCATCCTCAAACAGCTCAGAACTGATGCTGCTAAAAAGTAGCATTGGGGATTGGGTTGCTCAGCATTACTACTTAGCCCCGATAACCTGAAAATCTGTAGGCAGTTCTCAGCTTCTCAAAAGGAACCCTAGCCATTGAGTTAATTAATTTCTTGCCAATGCCTACCTAAGTTATCTAGGGTGGAACATCCTTTAAAAAAACATACGGGAAAATGTTTATGCAATCATTAAAAATTATCATCTAATCTGATTTAAACTACCAATTAGAGTTTAGAGGGTGGGAGAAATAAAGTTTTTAAGGAGTACAGCCACTGAACATAACATGTACAAAGGACTTTAAAGCAGCTCTTTGATCCTTCAGGTGGAAATTAAGATATTCAGGCTGTGTTTTGCTATTAAAACACACTGGAAAATGCAGCATTACTAAACTTCACATAGAGACACTAGCATATAAAGTTTATTCAAGTATTTCCTCTAGAGTATGGACCATGAAAGGGCACTTCCAATGCAAAAGCAAGTTTGTCATTGTGCATTTCTTCATTTTTAAACTTGTCCTCCACACATCTTCTTGCACTGTTCTTTGTTACTACTCTCTGATGTTTATTTCAGTGTGCATTCCATTATCATGATGAGAGTCTAACCACAGGTAGTGTCTTTAGTTGAAGGTATACTCCCTCTACAAATCAGCTCTGAATTTAAGCCAGTTTTTAAACAAACAAACAAACAAACAAACAAACAAACATCATCATCCACTAGTAAAACTGAGCTGGCATAATTTAACTTTCAGGATACTTTACTCTTCCAGTTCACAGCATCCCTTCACAGAGAATGGAAATATCATTGTGTGGTAGGGAGTTTGGAATGTGCAGCTGGGGCAATACCACCAACATTTTGTTCCTGGGCATCACCTCTTGTTCAGTTTTTTTCAGAGCTGAAAGCCTGGGGCAGTAACCAGCCGTGACATACACTGACTCAAATTAATTCAACTGCAGTATTAGAGCTTCACTCTTCACCAAGAAGGAAACAAATACTGAATAAACCCCAAGTAATAACTTTAGGTTTTTCTTCCTGACTTCTTAGAACTCTCAAGAATGAAGAGGAACCCATACATTAAACTGTCAATTCACAGTGGGTAACCAAAGCTGTTAAATAACTGCAGATAACATTCGGTCATTGGATGTTTTCAGTTTGCATAATGAAGGCTATGGCAGTAGAAAATGCCAGAACA